GGGCGGGGGCGTCCAGGGACCAAGCGGTGGCGGCGGATACGCCAGAGCCGCCGTCGCCGGCGCAGCCGGGCGCGTCCAGCGTCGACGCGAGCGTCACCACGCCGCCGTGCCGCCCCGCGGGCGCGGGGGGAGCGACGGCGAGGGCTGCGGGGACAAACGCGAGGCCGGCGGGGGCGAAGGCGCCCATGCTCACGCAGGGCGTGCTCACGCCCCCAGCAGGGAAGGCGAACGCGGGGTTACCGCCGCCTCCGGCAAACAGCACGAACTGCTGCTGCTGCTGCTGCTGCTGCTGCAGGTGCTGCTGCTGCTGCAGCTGCTGCTGCTGCTGGGGCGGGCCTAAGGAGAGGTGGTCAGGGCGCAATGGGAGCGATGCTGAGTAGACAGACCCGCTCGATTGGGTGCGCAGGAGGCCGTCAGCCTGAGGCGACGGGCAGCCGCCGCCGCCGCTGCCACCGCCGCAGTACAGTGTGGATGGCGCCTGCGGGGCAGCGGCGCGGCCGCCGCCGCGAGCGGCGCCCGGCCACGCGCCGCTGTCTGCCTTGACCAGGGTCAAAGTGGCGGTGGTGCAGTCCTCGCTGCTGGATGGGCTCCGCTGCGCGGCGCGGTCGTCCGCGGCGCCGCCGCCGCCGCCAAGGAAGAGGCCAAGGATGCGGCAGTCATAGTGGTCGCTGCCGCCGCCGGCGTCCGACGAGCACGCCGGCGGCGGTGGCGGCGGCCCGGCGCAGCGGCCGCCCCTTATTGGCGCCGCGGCCGGCCTGCAGCCGGGCGCGCCGCCTACGGGGTCGTCCATGAAAGACAGGAAGTCCTCCAACTCCTGGTCCGTAAGCATGCTGTGGGGCTCCTGCAGCATGGCTGCTGCTTGCGGCGTCGCACGCGTGTAGCCGCCTTGGTGCCGGCGCTCTCCGAGGCTGGCGCGCGTCCCCCGTCGGGTTGATGGGAGCACGACACCCGGCTGGCGGGCTGGTGCGTGAGCAAGTAGCCGCAGTAACAGGAGTGTAAAGTGCTCCTCGAGGTCGTGCCGTCACTGTTGCTCCGGCAAGTCGCGGCCCTCAGACTCGAGTTCCTGGGGGTGAGACGAACCAAGCGCACCACGGCGTGATCAGGTCGTCGAAACGTTCCACTTGACTGGCAAGGTTGCCGAATCAGTTCTACGGTGCCCATGTGGACCAGGTGCCGGAGCGTCGGCGCCCCACATGGTTCATGTGGCAGCCGGTGAGTGAGGGGGACACGCGGCAGACAAAGGCTGGTTGTCCATGCGTCAGATATGCTTTGTTGGCTTGCCAGTACCTTAGGCTGCTGCCTCCTGTCCCCGAACGCCGAAGTGGTGCCCTGCTGCGCGGGTTCAGCAAATACGCGGATGCTTCTGTGTCGTTGTTTGAGATGATACGCTATTTTAGACGGCTGCGACGGCTGGCAAACAGGAGAAAGGGAGTATTTACGACGGTGCCATGACGTCTGGGCTTCCCTGCACCGAAACCCACCACTGCCCATGCATCGTCGCGCATCAGCTGCTAACAGCTGTCCTCTTCTGATGCGATACTGTGAGGACAGTCGTGGTACTGAGCGTCCGCGGTCCGCTACTCTGGCAACCGGGACCTCGATTACAAAGATCAGACGAGCACCTGGGCTGCAGGGGGCGAAAGCGGGTAAAACGCATCATATATGAATATGTCATCATGGTCGCCGAGCCTGTACCTGCTCTGCCCGGGCGTCTGCGGCTGGACGGCGCTGTGTGAAAGCCCCCTGTGCTGACGGTTCCCTACCTGGGCGCGATGCCAGAGGTGTGTGTCGAGGTCTGCAATGCAAGACATGCCCAGACGCGACAAGCCAGGTGATGCGCTATCATTTCACAGGCCGCCCCCGTCAAAGGTTGACCGCGTGTGCGCGGCCAACGCGGCGCGCAGAGCGTGCGTTGGCAGGCAAGGTGGGCTCGCCTAGCAGAGCCGCCCGGTTGGCAGGGGCGGCCGGCCTGCACCAGGAGGCGGGTACAGGGATGATAATATTGTGCAAGCCTGCCGCGGGGCCTGTGTATGTTTGACCAGCTCTTGCTCTTTTATGCTCTCAAGCTGTTTTTAGCGAAACAAGCCAGCCTGTGTCACGAGCTCAGCAACTGCTCCCCACTCGTTACGAAATCGGAGGGCGCAATGTCACGTGTCTAAGTGGCATGTTGTAAGCCAGGCGGCCGCTGTTGGTCAGCTCGCCTCTCCGGGCAGGCGCGGGTGTACGCCGCGCGCCGCGGCTGCAGCTGGCCGCCCCTGCAGCGCAAGCTTGCTGAACGCGCCTGCAGCCCGCGTCCCAGGAGGATGAGTTGGCGGCTGGAAGTGGCTGCTGCCTGGGGTAGGGCAATTTGGCTTTGTGCGAAATTGACAGGTGGCAGCGGCGCGCAGCAGTGTCAGTTGCTTGCTGCAACATTGTTGGGGCACCAACCGTGGCAACACCGCTGGCGCGGCGCGCAGATTGCGCCGCAGTGATCCGGGAGAGGTTTTGTGAGTTACAGAGACGCTCCCCTGCTCTGCATGTCTTAGCTGCTTTCGGAAAGTCACTAAGCGTCTGACGCGGACTCCGCCCCCAAAAATTCTGTCGCGTCAGAACAGTTGATCCCCTGTGGATTTCCCTGCTCGTCCAAAGCAGAAAGGATCCCGGAACGTTTACGCTACTAAGATCTCCTTGAAGTTCAGGCCTCGCCCTCGTAAGAGTCCCGGCATGCGACAGGGTCGCGAGACAAGCCTGGGCGCGTTTGCAAGATAGAGATGGGCCGATGAGCGTCCAGTGGACCGTCGCAAGGCGCCCATTGGCGGCAGCGGCAGGGCTGCAGCAGCAGCAGCAGTGTGCGCTTGCGCCGGGTGCACAGT